ATTCAAAAATATTGGTCATGAAAGCTGGCGCGAGGAAGAAGATGACATAGGCCTACGATGGGTTTTCAGATATATATTTATGGTTTTGTACCAATAAACGAATTTATCACCACCCCAGTGGCTAAAGCGCGCGCCAGTTACCTCTTGGACCTGAGTTCGAGCCCCAACGCCCGTTTTGCAATTTCTCATATTTTCCATTTCTTTTTTTTTTGTTTCTTTCAGTCGCATTGGGCTTCTACCAATGAGCCTTGCACCATTTTGATATATCTAACCCCCCATTCTCTTTTAACCACGCAACCCATTTCATTGTTTTTTCTGTTCTTCTGATTACAAAAACAACTTTGGGCCTAAAGTCAAACAAAACTTTTTTGCTCATTCACACCCTAAATCATTTTAAAACTCCCTTGACTTTAATTTTATATTAATTTTCTTTATCATTTTTATTTATTATTATTATTATTATTATTATTATTATTATTATTTGTTATTAATAAAAAAATACCAAAAAACCATATTATATTTATTATTTAGATATTTTAGTTTTTTTTTCTTCTAAAAAACAAAAGACCAAAAATATTTTTCTAACAAATTTAATTTATTTTCTTAAATTTAATTAAATCATCTTAGACTTAGGTTTCATTTTAATTTTTCTTTAAATAATTTAGAATTTAGGAATTTAATTAATTTTTCTATTTACTTTAATTTTTTTAATTAAATTAAAACCCTTTCACAAAAACCCTAAAAAGATTGTTTTCTTATTTATTTTATTTTATTTTTTCTATTTAATTTAGGTTTAGTTCTTGTTAAATTAAATTAGAAAATCATTTTCTTTCTTTAATTAAGTTAAACTCTTTTCATAAAAAAAATCACAAAAAACTCAAATAAAACAATTCCCTCTCTCTTTGTACATTTATCTTATATTCTTGTATATTTTATTCTTGCAATATTCAATGTGGTTGTAATAGTAAATTATGATTTATTTACTTATCATCTCCCATTTACAAATTTGTACCCACATCCCCAATGATGTAATAACATTGAATTTTACATTTCCGTAATTTATCGCTTTCAATATAAATGCTAGTAATTAGGGTTTGTATGGCAAGACTAAAATCAACAAGTAGAAAACTCTAATTCAAAGACAAAGAGCATGAAAACAAACACGTTGCACACTTGCACCTCTAGGGTTAACCTCACTTGTTGCCTTGAGAATAAATAGTCATGTTACACAAAGGTGGGATACTTTAGCAAAAACAATCGAGTACAAGATCGTAGTCCCTCGACGACCCTTTGAATGTTGCCTTCAGTAAACGATTTTAGACCGTTACAAACAAATTTCTAAAGTATTCCACAACATTGCTTTCTATGACTATACGATGACCCGCTCCCGTCCCTTTACATCCAATGACAGAGCTTTTTATCAATCAATGGTAAGATAACAATATCTAAAGGAGGAGGAAATGAACAAAGACTTTTTGAGTAAGTAGAACGATCGTAGTTGCTTGCTCACAACCATCTTCAAAAATATCTTTCAAACACACCAACACTTTCAAATGAAATATTTTCAAAAGTCAACACTTTGTATGCATTCTTATAGAGACAAGAATCATTACAAAGTTTGCCTTAACAAAGACACTTTTCAAAAATACTTTCAAAAACAACCACAAAGCACATTTCAAATAAAGCATTTCAAAGTGAGCTAGCAACTAAGAGCCCGTAGATAACTACAGATGAAAAGGGTGCTAACACATTCCCTTTTTATAACCTACCCCCGAACTCAAGAAAATTATTAAAAGGTCTTTCCTATTCTTTTCACCCTTTCCTTTATTGGATAAAAGAAAAATCGGTGGCGACTCTTGATATCCGCAACAATTGCGAAAACACCTAAGTCAGTTCTCCCACTGTATTACACTAGCAATCACATAACAAATGTTACAAAAATGAGACAACTCACAACAATACGTGAAAACACATATATTCACAAATATCATATACAAGTTAATGTACAATTTCTATACAACATGTACATTAATTACAAAACTCAAAAACAAAAGAATTATCGCAATGCAAAAAACAATATAGCCAATCACCGACAATGATGCTATTTTGTTGCAGCGGTATAGCGACAAGAAAAAAGTAATTTATTAATTTACCAGGTGATATAGGTTATATCATATCGTGTCCACAGAGATTGATTATTGAATCGTCGTTCGACAAATCTCTCGTTAATGAGTTTGGGGATAAATAGGTTTGTAAAGAAAATGTATCAATAGAAAATAAATGTAAACAAAATAAAAAACTAAGGAAGAACTTATCAAGCCTGCATATAATCTACTCATCACAGACTTAAATCTATCGACCCGTTACATTTAACCTAACAATACTCATCAATGTCACTACTTATCACTCACAACCTAAGTCATTTCTAACCCAAATCGAGAGACCGACTGTATCACCAAGGAAATGATCTATCTACCTACTCAACAACACAGAAGACAACTATGTAATCACACTAACGATCTCTCAGCATAACACAACCATACAGAGGCATTAAGCTCTGATACCCAAGTAAATGTCAGCTCTAAATCTATCTTTAAAGTTCAGAAACTAACAGATAATCATCCTAGATAAGAATCTAAGCAGTATATGTCTATAACAACTCAAATCCCTAGCACAAAGTAAAAATCTAAGACAACAATCAACAAATATTTATAAAGAAAGTTTAATATAATGTCATGGGCGACAAATATTCATAAGTTTAAAGTAAAATACATACAAAACTCAACAAAAGAGAAATACATAAAGAGGAGAAGAGACAAACCACAAATCTTCCGGTTTGTCAGCGCTGGTCAATGAGAAATCCACCTCCAATCATCCATAAGCAAAGATCTAGTGTTGTTATCTAAGCTAATCCACTACAAAAATGAGGTTGATGGAGTTGGGAGAACAAAAACTCACACCCAAAATCATAACCATACAAAATTGAAACAAAATGAAATATAAGCAAATTCTGATCCGCAACCGTCGCCCGACGATACAACTCATGTCGCCGGGCGATGACTTCTATTCACTTGGTCCAGGTTGTGCCATGCATGCAACTGGGGAAAATATCTTTCACTCACCCGACGACAGATACATATCGCCCGACGACACCAGGCAAAAGCAACAAGGAAATTTGACCTACAAATTTCGCCCGACGATGACTTCTTTCGCCCGGTGATCCATGACAGTCCAACAACTTCTGTTGCTTTCCTGTATAACTTCCTCTGACTCCAATCTTCGTCTTATTCTTTTATTGATCCAAAAATACATCTTGGAGCTTTATTCCTCTTGCTCCAACAATGCTCAAATACCTACAAAACATATACAAAACTTAATCAAACGATACACTTTATACACGAAAATGTATTATACTTAAACTAAACGTATTTATACACAAAGTTGAGTTATTCAACTGATATTAACAATAAAGAATTGATAAGTGCAACAAAAAGTATATACAAAATAACTACACTTTTGCACTTATCAGTAAGCGTCGAGATATTTTTAATGAAAGTCAAGCTAAAAAGGTGAAAGAAGTATTGTAACATGTATAAATCTCTAGTAAGCGTGACTTGAATTAAGAAATTACAATTAAGAAGGTCGGAGAAACAAGATGAAGATCATATTATGATACATTATTTAATATGGTTTCTTTATTCTCTTCTATAATTGATGTGCTATAAATCGTTGAGGAAGATGATATAGGTTTAGATTAAAAAAAAGGTGAAACACTAATTCTGATGAATTATGTACAATATATTGAATTTATTTTCATCTTTTGATGAATTTTTTTATAGGAATTACACGTGATTTATCTCAAGTATTACAAAGAAGTGATCAAGATATTGTAAATGATATGAAATTAGTAAAAGTATTTAAAATAAGGCTACAAGTTATAAGAAAATATGGATAAAATTATTTGTTGAATGATGTTTCATTATTATTATGAGCATAATGATATTGATATTCTAAATATGGATGACATTTTCAACCGATCCAAAAAGAGTCAAAGTGAAAAACAGATAAAATATCTAATTTACATCATTTTCAAGTTCAATTATTTTATGAAGTGATTGATTGACAACTTTAGAGTTGAATAAACCTTTTACAAAAGTGAATGTTGACTTGTTCCTCTGTGTAACTTATTTGAGTCCAATACATTTATTTTTCACGTTTGATAAGATGTTGATTTGTTTAGTTCAATTTTATCTCTCAAAATTTTCTCAAGTTAAATTATTAATACTAGATTGTCAACTTGAAAACTATTTCTCAGATGTATGCCCAAACATTAAATTTTCAGATTCAAAAGAGATTATTGATTATTCTATCAAACTCATAGAGATAAAAAAACACTTTGTGTGGCGACCACTATAACAACGAAAGAGCTTAACCTATTGCGAATATTATCAAAAATCAAAAGCAAAATCGCACAAGTAAAAGAGATTTTTTTTTTGTTTAAGTTGAAAATAAGAAAATCAGTAATATTTTCGGAACATGAAAAATGCATTATATTAATGACATTTTTAATTCAAAACTCAAAACGACATCAAACTTCTCATTCTGTATTCACTCCTCTCCCTCTCAAGCTCGATCCCAAAACCCTAAATCATCGCAGAATCGCGCAACCCCTTCCTCAGCCTCTCGCATCTCTCTTCCGCCATCTTCTTCCAACCTCCACTCTCCAGGTATATTCTTTTTCATCTTTTCATTTCTTATCTCTTTTTTTCCCCAAAAAAAAACCCATTGTTAGATGCTAATCAAAATTGAAGATAATGAATCACGTAGAACATGCTTAATTTTGATTAATTGTGTTTATACTTGGGTTTTAACAACAACAAATGTGGTGTTCAGTTCGCTAATTGCGTCAGATATATTTAAGATCGGAAAATTGTCATTAAAATTAGGGTTCCTGATTTTTTCTGGTTTCAATTGCAGTTTTTGATTTGTTGTGAAACAACATGTATAACGGAATAGGGTTACAAACCCCAAGAGGTTCAGGTACCAATGGGTACATTCAGAGCAACAAGTTTTTCGTCAAGCCTAGAACTTCAAAGGTTGCTGAGAACATGAAGGGCTTTGAAGCAGATCAGGGTACGGCTGGGGTTACCAGGAAGGCCAACAAGGAGATTCTTGAGCATGACCGCAAGCGTCAGATTCAGCTCAAGCTTGTTATCCTTGAAGACAAGCTGATTGATCAGGGTTATACTGAGTCTGAGATTGCTGAGAAACTTGAGGAGGCTCGGGTTAATTTGGAGGCTGCGGCTGATGAAAATGACGGGTCATCTAATTTGGATAAGTAAGTGTTTGGGGTTTTGGTTTTTGTGTTAGGCTTGTTTTTGTTAATGCACGACTAATGATTTGATGATATAACCGTCCGTTTTGTTGAATTGTCTCTGTTCTATGTGAATTGTTGTTTACGATGATATTGTTTTTGTCTCTCGGTTTGAAATATTCTTCTGGTTGGTATTCATGTTTTGGATAGTTTAATGAATTGCATAACTGAATTACAACTAAATTGACGACACTCTGTTGATAAAATCTGCTGATAAAATGTTTGCATGTCAAATTATGTCTGTTTCAATTTGTATTTTCAAGAATGGTCGTAGTGGGCGATTTGGAATTCGATGTAATTAGACACAACTTTAGGATAATTTTAAGGGCCCATTTGCTTAAGCTTGAAAATGTGATTTATAGGTTGTTTAAAATCATGATTTATTTTGTAGGGATTTGTGTAAAGCTTATGCTTTTTGTTTGGTTACCACCCATTTTTTTGTAAGAATCAACTCAATAGTTTTCAGATTCCAATTTGTTCTTAATCTTAATACTTATACACACAAATAATTTTAGAATGCCTTTTTATTCATGATTTTTTTTTTTAAATGTACAGATTCCCTGTACACAGGATAATTTTAGAACACCTTTTTATTCATGAAAAAGAAACTGCAATACACAGATTCTCACTGCCCTATATAAATGCAGTTTCAGATAGGCTTACAGTAATCACTATTTTTATGAACTGTGTTTGCAAAGTTAATACCTAGGTATCACTTAAATAAACTTTTTTTGTGAAATTTCAGGGTTTCTGATACACAGACTCATCAAATTGCTGCTAGAAAGGAAAAACAGATGGAAACATTAAAAGCTGCTCTTGGCATAGCTTCATCTGAACCTGGTGAATTGATTGCAGATGGGAATGATGAGGAGACTGGAAATGAAAGGGGTGTATCTGTTCCGGATGCAAAACATATTTCTGAACATTCCTTTTTGGACAGAGATCTCAGTCGGAAGAAACAACCGGAAGAAGTTTTAAAAGAAGAAAATACTAAGAAAAAGAGTGTTAAAGACACAAAGCACCACAAGAAGGGTGCGACTCTTAAGAAAAAGCACAAGGATGATTCATCTGATTCAGACAGCAGTACGGATGATGAGAAGACAGGTAGGAGGAAGCACAGTAGAGTGAAAAACGACAGTAATGATGAATCTGAATCTGATAGTGATGTTCAGAGGAAGGTCAAGGCTAAAAAGAAGCAGAAGACATCATCGCACCACAAGAAAGGCAGGGTGGAGGACAGTGATGACACTGATTTTACTTCTGATACCGATGACAGCAACAGTGCACGAAAAAATAATAAAAAACCAGAAAAAACAAGTAAGAAACATGATTCCGATAGTGATTCTGATCATCATGAAGGCTTGCCTAATAGGACTAAAGAAGTGAAGGGACATGCAAAGATGAGCAAACGTCATGATTCTGAAGAGGAATCTGATTCAGATAGTGAGGCAGAGAAACACGGTAGACTGGATAAGCTGAAAATGAAGAGGTATGGTTCTACTAATGAGGATTCTAGTAGAGTCGATGTTAGGCGTGCTTCAAGACAAAACAAACATGTTAAAAGGCGGTCATACTCTTCCTCTGATGATAGTAGCAGTGACTCTGGTTCGGGTAGCAGTGAAAGTGATAGCAGATATGAAAGAACTAGAAAAGGTGGGTTTGTAGCAAAGAGAGGCAGGCCAAAGGAGGAAATAAATGTCCGAGATATTGCTGCCGAAGAAGGGAAAAGTAGTGCTAATGCTGATGGATTGGATTCTTTAAGAAAATCATATGGGAGAGATTTTAAAGAGGGTCCAAATTCTAGAAGTCAAGCAATGGCAAAGGGTGACAAGAAGACTGATGAAGATAGAGATAGGGAGACTATCAAATTGGCTAAGCATGATGAAGTGGGTAGGAAGTCTGAGTCAAAATCTCGAGTTTATCAAAATGATAGTCAAGAAAAAGAGGGCTATTCTAAGTCAGCTAGGCTCAGAGGCAATGATATTGAAACTTCTGAGCAAAGAGGCAGAAATTATAACAAGGATGTTGAATCACAATCTGTTGGAAGAATTGATCGGAATAGGGAGGATTATGAAGCAAGAAGGAAGGGAAGACATGATAATGATTATAAAAGGGATCTGGATGACCATGGAGAAAAAAGACATGGAAGGAATGAAGATGGGCGCACAGAAAGAAAGAACTTAAGGGATGAGGATGATTCAAGAGATGGAAAACATAAGAGAGGCAGGGAAGTTCCCCGAGAGAATAAGGGCTTAAGAGATCATGAAGATGGTCGCACAGAAAGAAAGTACTTAAGGGATGAGGATGATTCAAGAGATGGAAAACATAAGAGAGGCAGGGAAGTTCCCCGAGAGAATAAGGGCTTAAGAGATGATGAAGATGGTCGTGAAGCGAGAAAACACGGAAAGGATGAAGATTTTCCTACAGGAAGAAAGCACTTGAGGGATGAGGATGATCGCATCGAAACAAATATTAGAGGGATTGAGGATGAACGGACAGGAAGAAAGACCTTGAGGGATGAGGATAATTATGAAGAAAGAAAGAAATTAAGGGATGATGGTCGTCATAGAGAAGCACCAAACAAAAGGGATGATAGTGGCATTGGAGAAAGAAAGAACTCAAGGGATGAGGATGGCCGTGGAGAGAAAAAGAGCTCTAGGGATGGGGGTGATCATAGAGAAACAAAAATCAGAAGGATTGAGGATGATCGTACGGAAAGAAAGACCATAAGGAATGAAGATGACTATGGAGAAAGGAATCATTTAAGGAATGAGGGCCACCATAGGGAAGCACCAAACAAAAGGGATGGGGCTGGCAGTGGAGAAGTAAAGAACTCAAGGGACGAGGATGATCGCAAAGAAAGAAAGAACTCAAGGGGTGAGGATGATTACAAGGAGAGAAAGAGCTCCAGGGATGGGGATGTTCGTGAGGAAAGAAGAGAAGCACCAAACAAAAGGGATGTGGTTGGCAGTGGTGAAGTAAAGAAAAGGAATGAGGAAGATCGCAAAGAAAGAAAGAACTCAAGGGATGAGGATGAGTACAAGGAGAGAAGGAGCTCAAGGGATGAGGATGTTCGTGAGGAAAGAAAGCACGGAGGGGGTGAGGGTTATCATGGAGAAAGAAAGCGCAGAAGAGATGATGCTGATGACAATGTGCATGGAGAAAGAAGGCATTATAGAAGGGATGCTGATGATGGAGAAAGAAGGCATTATAGAAGGGATGATGATGATGGAGAACGAAAACACAGAAGGGAGTAGTTTGAGCAGCAAAATGAAGTTTATAAGAGTGATAATGTGAATTACTCCCAGAAAACCAAATTCAATGCATTTAGTTCAAGGGAGAGCATGAAAACACAAGACTGTGGTCCAAGGTTTTAGAATGCCGATTTAGTTCTTTGCCTTTGAATGTGGACGTGAGTCTTTTTCTGTTGTCTTCTTCCGTTTCTGCTGTTTAAAAGCATGTAATTTTTTTAATGTGTTTGAACTATTATTCATGTTTGCCTAGATTTCAAGTTGACTTCTGGCTTGTCAGTTTTGTGTCTTCTTCCTCTTAAGGAAGTGTAATGAATATTTGCAAGAGTGGTATACTGAACCTGCTATTTTCATGAAAGAAAGTAGACATTTTGCTTAATGTGATTGAAAGTCAGGCAAAGTCACCCATAGGATCGTAAAATGTTCATAAATTTCATAATGATATGTTCGACTCAAGCAATTGGGTTATGGTAGTTTGAACTTTGAATCATCTTAGGGCCATGGTTGTTGAGTTATCTGTTTTACAGAAATGCTAAATGACTGTCTGTTACAGTGAATCCAATATAGTTGTGGTGCGTTGAACCTAGTTCCTGCAGGAAATGAAATACAAACGTAATGGTTGTCTACTTGGTTCAAATATAAAATTAATTTTAAAAACTGTATTAGTTACTTTGTTTGAAATGCCATTTGTTCGTTCGCGGAGACTAGAGACTTCAGCTTCGGGCTTGAATTGAACTTCTGTTAAATGGAAACTTGAATGAGAAAAAAGATTTTCATCATTCTTTTAGTCTTACTTTGATTCGCAATTGAAAATTTTTCAACTTCACTGCTGCTTTAGGAAATATTAAGGAAATACTTAAACGTGACAGGTGCATTAGATGAAGAAAAACAGCTTGTTTCAATTTATTTTTGTTATATTTCTTTTGTTTCAAAATGACTATCGTTTTAAGAAATAGATTTTGTTTTAAAATGATTCTCATTTTCATTTTTCAATGTAGTAATTATTACTATTTTTTCAATTGTGTCTTTTATTTTTTATTCTCTACACTATTTTCAATATATTAATAAGGTTAATTTTGTAAAAGTATAATATCTTATTACAATATTATTGTATTTATTAATTTGTGTGCAAAAATCATAAACTAACATTTATTTTAAAATGAAGAAGATAGTCCATTTAAAGTTATTTCTTTTGAAATGAAGAAGATAATCCATTTGAAGTTATTTAGGTGGAATACCGTGGTTAGTAATGTATCAAACATCAAATTATTTGATACCTTTTTTATATTTAATTATTTTTTGATTAATATAAACTTTTCATAAAAATTTGTTTCAGAATTTTTTAAATCAGAGTTACAAAGAATCTAATTACAATTTCTTAAATTAGAGTTTTGAATTATAATGTTTGACACTATCAATTTTTGTGTGATGTAATTTAAATTTGTTATCTCAAATATATTCTTAGGTGACAACCCTCAATCCATATACCCTAACTACTTTTGACAAGCAAATCAATAACTCTCACTCATCCAATCATTTGCCACTTATGTTTGACAAGCAAATCAATAATTCTCCCTTATCTAATCATTTGTTTGTGGTTTCATTTTTCTTTAGTAGAATATACTTTCACACTCAAAGAAATTTAGTTTTTTTTTATCTGAATATCATATTCTCTAAATATAATTGCACAAAGATTAATTTATCAAATTAGAGAGAACTACAAACGGTCATCATTACGTCTTTTTTATATATTTATTTTACACATTATTATAAATAATATATCTCTTAATGACTCTCCATTGAACTTTCACCTACCTTCAATAAATCAAATTCAAGTAATGTTCTATGGTGAAACGAGATATAGGAAATATGAGTGAATTGTGTGGTGACAAGAGTCTCTCTGAATGGATAGTCACGTAAGGTTAATAATTCAACGTTTGAATGAGTGAAGCTAGAGAAATATAGTCTCTAAGAGTGAGTATGAGAATATGTTTGTTAGTGAATCATCCAATCAGATTTAATGATAGTCAATGTATGTGTAGTTTGGATCAGATATTCGGCTCCTTGATGAGGTTTCACCTATTGACTATCTTTTCGTGATGACACTGAGAGTTATCATATTGTAGGTTTATTATAGTTGCCTTCAAGTCCTTGCTATCATTAGTGAGTCAAGGATTGAATGATCGAATTCGGGGTTGAACTTCAGTTGTTCTTCATCGCCGCCTTGAGTTTCCTAGGCAGGTCTTCGGCTTAGGGAAGCGGAAAAGTTTGGTGAGTGGGAGTAGTTGGTCTCGAGAACTTGCATATTAAATTATAGTCTCTGATTCTATGTGATGTGTAGGCTAAAGTCTTATGAGATTTTGATGATGACAATTGAACAAAGAAAAGTAAAATAGATTTCAAATATCAATTTTCAGAGGAATTGAAGTTGTGAAAACTCGTCTAATCTTACGCTTAACATTTGATAGTTTGTGATCAAGTGTATGTAATATAAGTAAGATTAAGTTTTGAAGTACTAAACTAATGTGCACACATAAAGTTGTTTTAATCTCTAAATCAATTTCTCAATTAAGAAAAATAAAATTATTGTCTTGAACTATTTTCTAATCGATTAAGGAGCGAGTTTTCCTCTTAATCAATTAGGAATCCATTTAATCGATTAAGGAGAAAATTTGATTGGGATTTCCTTTTCTGACTTAATCTAATTGGTTAAAGTGTCATTTCTAATCGATTAGAAAAACAATCAAATTCATGGATTGTTGCCCTTTTGAACTAATTTTTTTTCAATATAAAGTGTGTTGCTCACTTCTAAAGCACGGATTTTATGAACTATCTAACTCATTCTTTATTTCATTATTGATGTTCGCATCTTTTGCTTAGCTATAGTCAACTTATTCGCATATTGGGTGGTTGGTCATGATATATTGGATGTGGTTTCTCCTCTGTGAATTATATAGAAAATTAATGATAGTTTCCCAAAATATTTAAGCACTTTACTTAAGTCATTCAAATTCATATCCATCTTGAGCTTGTTATTGTCAATACATCAATGTTGCACCTCTTCAATCTTATAATCTTTTTTCAAGAAAAGAAATATTAAACTTATAGTGTGTTTGTAACAATAATTTAGTTAGTTAAGTGCTTATAGCTTAAACAAAATTTCCCTATTTAGAAGACTGATTTAGACAATACAATTGCTTTTGAACCCATTCATCATAATCTTGTAGCATCTGCTCAAGTAGCAGTGGCACCAGCTTGTCCACCAAAGCTTGCATCATTCTGCACATAACCACACTTCTATATTATAATTTCTAAAAAATAATATTGAAAATTTTTAAAAAAAAAGTTTGATCTGAATTAACCTTTCACTCAAATTTGGTAAAAGTTGTTACATTGCCATAGTTGTAAGATTATGAATTAAACCACTCACATATTTCCAGGACCTTCAACAGCTGAAATAGGCATCATGGTAAATGGGAGTGTATATATCTGCAAAACCGAACTTTTTTTCAAGATGACGAAAAAATGTAAAAGTACAGTAATATCATACGGAACCATAGTTAGATTAGATGCTAATTTTTTTATTAAAAAATGTTTACTTCATATGCAAGGATTAAGGATTAAGGAGGAATCAAATATGAATGTGATAGATAGTATAAGCTATATTTTTTAGTTTGAGTATAAGAACAACCTCAAGTGTGAGATTCAACTTCACATCAACTTCCAAAAATGATTCAGCCTCCGCATCACTCCATGTCATGTAATTTATCATGAACGCTACGAATTCATAGAAATGATTAATAAGCATTGTTGTGACATGGAGAAAAATTAAAAGCGATACAATCCAGATACCTGAGAAGTGGTCGTTTTGCTCTTCAATAATTTCTGAACCCTCGAACTGTGAATAATATAGTGAAATATCGAAAAATAGAATGGAATAAGTGAGTATGAATGTTGAAAAGATTCATGTTCAATAAAACTTAGTTCATATCATGCTTATCAAAACTAAGGTGTAAAATCCTTTAAAGGAAACACCTTACAAGAAATCATTTCAACCAAGCAATCTTCATCTGTTGAGGTAACCCGCAGATCTATGAAAGGAGAAGCTTCAAAGTTCAAAAGCCTAAGTTTAGGAAGTTCACACCTACAAAAGAATTAAGTACGCATTAGTATTTTATCCTTCACCAGAGTTTGAACTTCAGTTCCCCGTAATTCATATCAGTTGAGCTACCCCGCAAACAATTGTAAACGGCTCCTTAACTTGCCTTTAACTCCACATCAATATTCCGATGAATGAAACTATTTGCATTCTACAAACAAAATCGATAAAAGAATTGAAGATATGATAGACCTGTATGTGTTAGCATCAAGGGATTGAAATGATTGTAAGGCCTTTGTGTTCAACACTGCAGCAATTCCACTAGGCTGCCTTAAAAATTCACTGATGTGGTATTTTTTACTCCCAACAACATCATCATATGTTGGCAGATTAACTCTTTCCTTTTTACTAGCAAACAAATTTGCTTTCTTTACATTTGAATCCGTCGACTTCACCTTGATCTCCATTTTTTTCCTAAAAAAATCAAATTTATAAACAAATGTAAACAAGTCTTAGAAATTCAATCATCTTATCAATATTAATAATAAGATATTTCTTTGTACAAACCTTTGGGTGAAATTGTGGAAGGAATGTGTGGCCCAGAAGTATTGTCCATTTCCATACAATTTGTTGCACAAAAGCATTGGTTTTGCTGCAAAAAGAAAGCATCAGCTACCAATGTAAAGGAAACAATAATTTAACAACTCAAAATGGAAAAAAAATCTTGAAAATTTGGCTGCAGAGAAAAGAAAAGAAAGCATTTGTTACCCATTTATTGATTAATCTGTCTGGTAAAGAAGTTGGTAGTTGAAAGAAAAGAATAGGAAGAAGGAAACTGGTTGAAATAAATGCCACTGAAAAAGATATTCTATTCTCACTAATGATAACAAACATTATAATATCAAACATTACTCTTTGCACCACCCTGTGAGTATGTAACAAGGTTAAGGAATCTTGTGAAAGCCCAAAAAGGTATTATAATTAAATATATTTTTAGTTATAAAATTAGACTAACGCACCACGCGAAATTCCAAAAATACTCTTTAAAATTGGAAATTTATTTCCGGTACGCACCTTGTTAAATATATATTGTATAAAAAAGTTGGGTATAAATCAGAAATAAACATCCGGTTGCAAACGTAAATGATTTTCCGGTTGCACCCAAACACACATAATGGAGTGGTCTTGGAATCCAAGTTCAAGTCAACATAGGAACCAAAATTAAATTTACGGTTGCAACTGAATGTATATATTTCGGTTCATGTTGAGATCTAAATTTGCGATGTCTTTTCCCTTCCCTTTATAGAAACGTTTTCAAACACAAAAATAAAACACACAAAACACCCGACCCTCTCAAACCCCATTGTTGCAAAATCAAACCATTTCGCAAAAAGCTCATCAGAAATCGTCAAGCATCAGTTAACTTAAGTGTTCAACCACATTCAATCAAGAAAAATCATCAATTGTAAGTTGTTTTTGAATTTTTTGGAGTTTATGTAATTTAAGCTACAAATTGTGATTTAGGGTAGAAATTATGAGTTGTTTAGTGTTTTCAATGTTAGTGAGTCATAAGAAACGTGTTTGAAACATTTTTTTATGATCAATGACCATTATTTTGAGGTCATTTGTGGCTTTGCTTCGCAATTGACGAAACTTTGAAACTGCAGGTCGTACTGAAAATGTATTTTCGATTTTCATTTTAGTTTGTCCATTTTCCCCTTAATTTTGAACATTAGCCCTTATGTTAACGTTTGTTTTGTACTTCTATAGGAGTAATGGCTGATAGAGCATCTAAGTTAAGGCACGACAAACTTACACAACATGTTTCTGTCGGAGAGAAAGGAGTCAGACATCCCAGACTCCTTTTTCCTCTAGACAGACTGTGTCGGATGCGCGTACTACAACCTCAACCTCCAGTGTTCCTGTTTCTACTGTGACTTCATCATCCTCCCACAAAAGGCAAGATTCTCCAGTTCATCCCTCCTCACCCCCGTCTTCTCGTAGATGCAGCTCCTCATCGATGGTATTTGAGGCGGAATAGGCATCTGGTTCCCAGCCGACACCGAAAGTCACATAACTGACACCTGAGGTTACACAGTCGACACCTGAGGCCCAGCCACAACCTGCATCTCAAACACTTGAGTCAGCACCCCAGACATCTCAAGCACCTGATCTGGCACCTCAGGCTGCACGTGCGGCACCTCCGAGTTTTGGAAGAGGACCGTCTGATTTGTCTATGTTGTCTCTGTACCCAGACCATGTTGTTAGACATATATGGGACAAAGAGGTATGGATTTTGAATTGTTCCTTCTATTACATTTTTATTGTGGATTTTTGTTGAATGAATTTTGTCAAACCATGTATGCAGGAACGTGATCGGCTGAAGGTCATTAATCATGGATGGAAGATCAGTAAACTCGATGCCCCTCTTGAGCCATGGTTTGATGAGCTATTGCTGCTTACAAGGTTGAAATATTTGACCAAGTGTGGTTATAGCGTCGTTAATTGGAGTATGATTAAAGCTTTTGTTGAGAGGTGATATCATGAGACGTCGTCATTCCATCTACCACATGGTGAGATGACGATCACACTGGACGACTTCGCGTCTCTTCTGCATCTTCTGATTAGAGGAACATTTTTAGACCATGACCGGATTGAAAAGAGGAGGCGTTGAATATGTTGGTAGAGAAATTGAGAGTTCCACCTGAGAGTGTCATGGCTGAGATAGACTTCACCCGTGGTGTCCACGTCAGATATAGTTATTTGGAGACGGTGTTCACGAATGAGATAAGGCGTGCACGAGAGGCTGATGGTGATCCCGAGCAGGTTACCATACATCAGAGGTTTGCTATGAGAGCATACCTTTTATTTCTTGTTGACACACAAATTTTTATGGACACTAGTGTCACTTACACAGATGTGATGTACCTGGGGTACGTTGATGATTTTGATTATATCCACCAGTGGAACTGGGGGACTGCTTGTTTGGTTTACTTGTATACAAATTTGTATGAAAGATGTAAGTGGAAGACAATGCAAATGACCGAAAACATCACATTCCTGACGGTAAAATTTGTTGGTCTTTATGGTGTTTTGTTAATTATTGTGGTTACGTTACTAATTAATAATTATTGTTATTTCAGGACTGAATCCTACAACACTACCCCCGCATCTCGGGTTGCTAACTTGCTACGGATTATATGGAAGATAAGCCGTGTGGCAACTGCATACGGCCCACTTCAAGGAAACCAGGCAATTGAGCCGTTTCAGGTGTATATTGTTTGGTTGGTGTTTGATGACATACACTTCCATTCACACGTCGATCATTGTGTCACGATACCATTTGACAATGTTGCGCTGTTTACATGATGGTTGGCTTGCGGGTCACACAAGACGGCTGCTTATATGTCTAAGTGTGTCATGTGTCAGTTCAGGTACACCCAATATATTCTCTGGGATCCTATTGTATCTGCTCTTCCTCCGGTGAAACGCAGGGATATAGATGTCTTATTTGATCATTATGAGAATCATCTTGTTCTAGATGAGGTGTGGAGTACCTTTGCTCCAAATGATTGGAGCTACGAGGACAGTTATATCATATGGTTCTTTAGGGTGTCCCATCTATACCTGGTACAGGATGCTCCAGGAAACCCACTGAGACTAGCTCATCAGGAGATTCTAGAGAAGGAGCAGGCTATGGCCGATCAATGCCACTGATGTGTTGCTTAGGTGTCGTCGTATCATGGACACTGTGCAATAGGGTATTGATGGAGGTCTGTTTTCTAATGACTCTGATGTTAGAGGTGTTCTAGATGCTATCATGGCAGAGGCTCAGGAGGCTCTGCAGTACAGGAGGCAGTGGAGGAACGCCGGGAGGGTGATGGACCGACTCAGCGTCCGCCATACCCAGTAGTTTGTGCTGTTGTATATGTATTTTGATTATCGTTTTTTTGATTATATTTGGATAATATTTTGGGTTATCCCCTATATTAACTACGGACACCTTTTGTACTGTTTGCAGCTATCTATTTATATATGTCTTTGTTCTATATGTCTTTGTAGTATGTTTTGTTATATACGTATTTGTATTCAATGTGAAACAACACACAAAAATATCCAATGTCAGTATAAGTATTTCTGATACTGTCTTCATAGAAACCAGAAATACATTTCCGATTCGTTTTGCAAATGTATTTTCGATTCTTAATCAAGATTTAACAGAAAAAAAAAGTGCGAACCGAAAATATATTTCCAAATTTTCAGAGATATTTTAAGAAATGCATAAGACATTTCTTTAGACTATAGAATGAAAAAAGAAATTGCCTAAAATTATCAACAAAAAATTTGGACGTTTCTTTAAAATTAACTACAAAACTTTTAGTTAAAGCTATTAACTCGGTATATATTTAGTTAAAAAATATATATACTTTTAATGATATATTTAAAATATTAGTAAAAGCCTTCAACAGAAAGTAAAATTTGATAATTTGATTGAGATTATATTTAACCCAAAAACTAAAAATAGGTAATTTAAGTATAAAAAAAAACAGATAATTTGCTTTTTATCTCTAAACCTTTTTTTTTTCCTACTAATGAAAAGTTGAGTACAATTCTAAATTTATGGATATATAGGACATCAAAGGTACAGACAAATTTATGAATACAGATATTTCTAAGGCCTCCAAACAGTAATCTCAAACATTCTTTTCAAAGCTTCTGAATAACTCTGAGCTTGGCACTTCTACTTCGGCGGTTCAATTCCTCCTCTTCTTCTGATGGCGTGATTGGTCTTTTTGTGAGAACTAAACCATTTGATCCATGCATTACTTGTTTTATCCATGCTTCTTTTTCTTTGATTCCATCAATCATCTTCCTCAGATCACTATTGCAGCTTTCCCCTTCGCCCGTGTCTTCATTCCCTTTAATTATGTTAAGAAATGTTTGCTTCACAATTCTGTCCTCCAAACTGTGAAAGGATATGACAGCAAGCCTGCCCCCAGGTGCAAGGCAGTCAAAACAAGAATACAGAGAATCCTCGAGAGTCTTCAGTTCATCATTGACCGCGATTCTCAATGCTTGAAATACTCGGGTCGCTGTCTTTATCCAACCTTGCCTTCCACCTGTTGTTGAAGTGGAATCAAAATGTAGTTCGATCAGAAATGGCACTTGCACGAAAAATGAGGCTTATAGTCCTAGGAAAAAAAATAAAGCTGCAATAGAAAGTTGGAGAAGGACGACCTACTTTTCATTGGAGGAGTCACGCGCTTAATAAGACCCAGCAAGTCGGTAGTGGAATGAAATCCACCTTCTAAACGGGCTTGGACAATTTTCTTCTGCAGAGTGCGCCAATTACTTTCTTCCCCGTAATCCCTTAGGATACGGCCCACATCAGTATCTGGCCAAGAATTTAGTATGTCTTCTGCTTTAAGGCTTGCCTGTCATATGCCTGTCCATCAGTTTAGTAGGAAACATAAATCATGTATTACTCTGCGGTAAACAGGCTAAAAAAATACGATTCCACATAAAAATATATCGCAATGATGTGTAAAAGGAAATAGGCATGTTTCATTAGCGAGAAAGATTGAAGAAAGCCATCAAGAGAAACTCCCAGCATAGCTTAGAATTTAGATAGATACACAAGTTAGGCCGTATATCCACACAAAAAAAAAGGTATTAGAGAAATAGCAATACAGGTATTGTGTTGGAGTTGGAGCATCCAGATTAACGAAAAAGACTACAAAGTAAAGCAAAATTCAACACTAAACAACATTCACATGATGGAACCATTTTTCACTGCAACAAATCGATGAGCGAATTGCACCTATTCTACAAGTAAACACTTTACAATCATATCCCTTCTTTCTCCAAAGAGCATAAATTTTACATTAAACTCTGAAATGCATTAAACTATACCTGAGGATCCATACGCATATCAAGGGGTCCATCACCAAGCACACTGAATCCTCTTTGAGGATCATCCACCTAAACAATAAGAAAACATCACTTCATCAAGATACCGCGAAAGATTCAAAACACTCCACCACTATTCCAGCACCATAAGATTAGACATCATCACGGTTTTGAATTACATTCTACAACCACAAAACTTAACAATTCAATACATCTTCAAACAACAAACATAACCACAATTTAAAACCACAAATGTCTCACAACACAAGAGAGCAATCAATGTATCCTATATAAAGCTGAAAAACGAACCTGCATAGATGACATTCCAAGGTCCATCAAAATTCCATCAATAGACCCAACCCCCAAACGTTCCTCGCCCGTTCCTCTAAGCACAGACTTAATGTGTCTAAAATTCTTTAACATGGTAAACACTTTCACACTAGACTCATTATCTTCCAAAACTGAACTGATCCGCGATTGGGCTACATCACTTGCCACAGGATCCACATCAATCCCTACAAAATACTTCAACTCTGGATGCCCTCTAATCACCTATTCCATTCATCCATTCAATAACAACAGGAAAAACAAAATATATCAAATTAAATTAACTACATTGAGTATATAATTAGTTGTAACCTATGTAACAGACATTTCTGAAAAAATGTGTGTCTGTGTGATGCGTCAGTGTCATGTTTAATTTATTTATCTTTTAAATTATTATCGGTGTAGACGTGTCAAGTGTAAGAGATATTGATTGATATGATACTAACATTGGTGGAGTGACCAGCTGCACCAAGAGTACAATCAACGAAAGAGATTAATGAGCAATTCGAGAAAACATCCAAGACTTCAGAAAGCATAACAGGAATATGAAGATGAGAGTTGTTGTTGTAAAGCTCAATAATTGTGTCCTTGTCGAGTTCTTTGTCGGAACGCGTTCGTCTCTTTTCTTTGGCAAGTGCTGCTTCTGTCTTCTTCTTTGTGATTCTCGTGGTGATGTTGTTGTTGCTGCTGAGGGTTCTGAGTTTTGAAGAGGGGAAAAGAAAGGAATTGGTGTGATGAATGAGTTTAGGTTTGGATAGTGATAAGAGTGACGATATCTTTGAAACCGTTGCCATTTTTTTTTGTCTTCTTTGCTTCAGACCTAACTCATTTTTTTTTGTGTTCTTTGCTTCAGACCTAACTCGCTCTAATGGCCAAGGAAAATTTTTATTTTATTAATTGTAAAATTATTTGTTTTAGTATTTATATATAGAGTTTTGAGCTAGTCCATATGAGATGGTTTATAAAATCTGATCATTTTAGGGTTTGAATTTTATAATTGGAGTCAAAATTGTATGTGACATTTTTCAATCTACAATTATATGAGAAATTTTTTACCTCATATCTCTACAATTGTATTTGTATTCAAATATTTAAAATTTGTGAGCGAAAATGCCCTTCATATAAATAGTAAAATTTCAAAAAAAATATTACTTTCCATTCTGACACTCTGAAACTCTTCTAAAACACTATGAAATTAGTTGCATTCCAGAATATTTTCTCAGACTCTTCTGGTTTACAGAATTGCATTCTGAAACACTCTAAATAAGTCTTCTGATTTTGTTCGTTACACTGGAACATATTTTAGAACTCTTTCGATTTTATTTGTAAACACTAGAACACTTTTGAAAAATGTTCTGATTTTATATTATAAACCGAAACACTTTTAAAAACTCTTCCGATTTATACTCGGTACACACAGAATATTTTCATAAACTCTTTCGGTGTTTACATTCTAGAACACCTTCATAATGTGTTCTGGTTTGTGTTTTTTTTATCAACTTTTTTGTTAATATTTGTTATTTTCATAATGCGAGCACTATACCAAGACTATAGGATTCCAACTCGTAGGCTAGGACGAAGCGTTCCACAAATGGTGTCACGAGAGAAGGAGCATGTTGGTGCATCTGCATCCGCAACCACAGTCTGTTGATTATTCAGAAGGGTCGTATGATACGTCTCTTATGGTTAGGCATGAGCAGCATGTTGCTCGACATTTATGGTTCGGTGAGGTAAGTAAGTTACTATTTTATGTTGAATATTTTTTAAATTTTTATATGTGTTTAATAATATGTGTATTTTGCGCTCAAAAAAATAATATGTGTATTTTTGTTTTCAGAAGAGAGGTCCAAAGAAAGAATTGAAAGTTGCAGGACATGGTTTGAAGCTTCAGCAGAGGGTTCCACTTAATCTCCCATGAGAGATGGATGTCTAGGTCTGGTCTATCTTTGCTTCAGAGAACCAGTTTGTCAAAGATAGACTCAAACCTGGCAACCTCGTTTGAAGAGAGATGACATCTAAAGACATCTTCATTTCACATGCCATTTGGTGAGATGACGATTACTCTGGATAACGTTGCTTGTCTGCTTCACCTTCCCATTCAGGGCATGTTCTGGAACCCCGAATATGTCACATAAGAAGTTGCTGTTGAACTTGTTGTTGACTATTTAAGAGTGTCATGGGGCGTTGCATTAGAACATGTACGGGCATGCAGGGGTGCTTATTATAAGTTGAAATGAATATATGATTTATTCGTAGAGTAGTGAGCTACTTTTAGTTGGGCATATGCAACCAGAGCATATATATTGATGTTGGTGGATTGCACTATTTTTGTCGATAAGATGTTTACGCTTGTTAACGCACGATATCTGTTACTATTTAGGGACTTGGATAGCCTTCATGGTTATAGTTGGGGAGCAGCTGCTTTGGTTACCCTATATCGCGCTCTTGGAGATGCATCCATGTTCAGTTGCAAACAACTTGCTGAATATCCTACTCTACTTCAGGAATTTATTAAGTGTAGTTTAATTTAGTTTACTTATTAGTTTAGTCTATTTATTTTATTAAATTTTTTTATTGACAGTATTAATTTTGAAACAATGTTGGATTCATGAGTACTTTCCAACACTTGAAAGAAAAGGAGAAAATTGGAAACTATGTGATAATCTTAGACTTTCTAGAGCTATGAGATGGTCGTACAAGCAAGAAGCCATGACGATGGATGAGTTACGACCTATTTTGGCGAGATATGTCTGTACATGGGGGTGTAAAATGGGGTGACACTATTGTTCCCTACTCGACTGATGAATGTATACGTCAGTTTGGATACAGACAATATGTTCCCCCCGCCTCCTGATCATATTGATGTTTATATTGATGTTGACTGGATTAGTTACCACTAGAGTTTCATTGAGGTGACTTATTCGATAGAACTATCCACCACTTCATATGAGACTGATGCATGATATTTGGATTGGTTTTATCGTGTATCACATCCTTGGCTGGTATCATCCCCTAGTTGGGCTCGTGTTTCCATCTTGCTTCATCGTTACCTCCATCAAGTATGTGTTGACGGGGATGACCCGTAGTTAACTGATTTATTTGAAGCTTTACAAATTTCTCATTCGCATTAATTTATGTTTATACTTATGTTTATTCTTATGTTTAATTTCATATGTATTAACATCCTGACTTATGTTTATTTTGAGACATGTGAAATTAAAACTCAATGACATAGTTTATTCTTCATGTTTTGATTATATATTTTAATACTCAATGACAAATATTTTTTATGCTAAACTAACACAATATGGTAAAACAGGCATAAGTCGCTACCAAAGTTGTAGACGGTATGCAAATCCTAACAATGAACATGAACACTGTCAATTGGTATATGTAATACTGTGGGAGAACTGACTTGAGGGTTTTGTATTTTATCACAAATGTTGCGGATAGCAAGAGTCGCCATTGACTTTTATTTTATTCAATAGAGGAAAGGGTGAAAAGAACAGGAAAGACCTTCGAGAATTTTTCTTGAGTTTGGGGGGTAGGTTATGAAAAGAGAAGGTGTTAGCGCCCTTTTCATCCGTAGTTATCTACGGGCTCTTAATTGCTAGCTCACTTTGTTTGAAAATGCTTCGTGTTTGTGTATGTTTGCAAATATTTTGAAAATGCATAAGCGCGACAATTTTGTAATGATTCTCGCATCGTTGAGAATGTATACAAAATGTTTATTTGGAAAATACTTGTTGAAAGGGAGTGTTTGAAAATACCAATGTAAGGCAATTTTGTAATGATTCTCGTGTCGTTGAGAATGTATATAAAATGTTTGTTTTGAAAAGTATTTTGAAAAGTGTTTTGAAAAATGGTTGTTTTGAAAGTGTGAAGTGTGGAGCTTGTTTTAGTTTGTGAGCAAGCGATTACGAGCTATCTACCTACTCAAAAAGTCTTTGTTCTTTTCCTTCTCCTTTAGATAGTGTTATCCTACCATTAGTCAGTAGGAAACTCTATCATTGGATGTGAGGGACATGCGTGGGTCATCATACAGTTATAGAAGGCAACTTGTAAGACGCTTTAGCAATTATCGTAAGGGACTAAGATAGTTTGCCGAAGGCAACATCGAAGGGTCATCGAAGGACTATAATCTTTTAATCGAGGGTCTTTTGCTAAAGCATCCCATGCTCGAGGGACATGACTGTTTTTCTCCGAGGCAACAAGTGAGGTTAACCCTAGAGGTGTATGTGTGTGAAGTATGTTTGATTCAAGTATTTTATCTTGAATTAGGGTTTTGCTATGTTTGCTTTTAGTCTTGTCATATAAACCCTAATTACTAACAGAAACATGGAAAGCGATAAATTGCAGAAATTAAATGTTCTACACTATTACAATGCTTTGGGAATGAGGGGTACAAATTTGTGAAATGGGGAGAAAAGCAATAAACCCTAACTATGTATTACATACCATGTACATAAATGATAATGCAAAATAATAAAATGCACAAAAATGTAAATATGAAAAAAAGAGAAAAGAAATTGTTTTGTGGTTTTTGATAGAAGAAGCTTGATGGTTAACCTAAGAAATTTATTAGTCCTAATTGAAAAGAAATTAATTAGTTAACTAAACTAAAAATCTATGTTGGTTTAAAAAGAAATAGAAATTAAAGAAAACCTAAGTCTATTTTATCTCTGATTTTTGAAGAGAAAATAATTGTTTAAAAAAATTTTTTTTTGATGTTTTTATTTAGAAAAATATTTGAAGTATAAAACTTAATTCTAATTAATTAAATCAAGGTGATTGAATTAAAACATTTTTTTAATTATCAAAAATTAAAACAATTAATTAGAAAACTAAATCTAAGTTTTTTATGATTTTTTTAATGATTTTTGTTGTTTTGAAAAAAAAAAGAAAATGACTAAAAAGAAAATAATTAAAATAAAAAGAAAATTAATCGGGTCAGTATTATAAAAGAAATCAGGGGGTGATGAAAAGAAAAATAAAAACGTTAGGCCCAAACAAAATTTTGTTGAATAAGAAAAGTATATATGAAATAAAAAGGTAATGGGCCATATGTTAGTAAGCAAAAAGGATGTGTGAGAAAGAAATTTCAACCAAGCCCAAAACAAAAGTTCAGGCGCTTGTGAGATCTAGTGTTGCTAGCTCATCATGATGTACTATGAGCTTTCTCATATGGCGCGTTGAATTTAATCATGTAATGATCATATGGTGATGGAGAGAGGAATTCCATACGCGCCCGCTTCCTACTTGCATTGAATCTGAAACAAATAAATGTGAAACAAATAAAAGGGACCACTGGGGCTTGAACCTAGGTCCCAAAGGTAACAAGTGCGCGCTTTAACCATTGGGGTGATGATACATCTGGTAGTTAAAACAATAACTATTAAATATATTACAAACTCAATTCTGAATGTACTTCATCTTCTTCCTCGTGCCAGAAGCTTCAACAACATTTTTGAATTTTCAAACTCTTCCATTTCTCAATCATTTTTAAAAGTGTAAACATGAAACTTGCTTGTTTTTTCACCACAAATCCAACCATGCCATTAACATAAGCTAACACTCAAAGATTAAAGTGAATTTTTGTTGGTACCAAACTGAACCCTAATATTTCAAAATTTTCAAATCCAAAATTCTCATCACTCAGGCAAGATAAATGAAATGTAAGCATATGGTTAACTTTAGGGCAATGGTGTCTACATTTTTTATTCAGAAAGTAAACATTAATGATGCTTGTACAGAAATTTCAAAGTTTAGAAAACTTACCTCAAAAGTGAGAATC